CACACACACACACACAAACATAGGCACACATGCATCTATGTATGCATGTATGTGCACAACCACACACACCATCAACTTCTACAACCTATTGTGCTTCAGCTCATGTGACGTTCTTGTTTTTTAGAATCCATTTATCATGCAGACACAAAAGAATATGAGAACACGGACAAAATGAAACTCTGCATGCACACATACACTCAAGCTGTTAAACACAGTATATCACAGTGCACTGTGCTTAATCACCAATGACAAATTTAATACATGTCATTCCTCAAATTGGATAACCTTCCTTACTGAGAGGATGGTATTATTCTATGAAATTATATCCTTAAAGCCTCCACACTACCTTACGTCTTTTATGCCACACGATCTAATGATTACCTGACCTTGGGTGTTCCACATTAATTATGGCAGCACTAGATTCAGGAACTGCACAGCTTTTAAAAGAATAGGTCTCATTCATCGTTCTTTGATTCTCGTTATAGATTTTACAGATTTATTATCCGATTTTTGCATATTTATTCTTTTAGGAGAATTTATATCAACACATTTTTATTGATATTGCTTAAAATTACACATTTGTCGGAACAATATATGACCCTCTGTTCTTACAACATCAAAACAGACGAGGAAAACCTTTAACAGACAAATAAAGAATTAGAAAAAGTATTGAGTAAATGTGTTTCAGGACAGTAAAAGTGTAGTGTGGCCCTGTTGGCCTAGACGTTAAAGCGGTGACTATGAACCGGCTGTTGACCTTTGTTGCATGTCACTCTTCCTTTCCTCTCCATACTATTGGCTAATAAAAAAAAATCATTAAAAAAGGTGTCTCTGGAGTCTTGAAGATATTGAGCTACTCCCATTAGGACAATGACCAGAAAATCCCCACTGCACCATGATTTTTCTATTAATTTTCTTGACCTTAAATTTGTTTAGCTGCTGTTATTCTTTTCTTGCATGTCTGGTTGTATTTCTTGAAAAAGAGAGCTTGATCTCAATGAGATTAGCTGATTGAAAAAAAGGATCTATAACTTACATGGCACTTACAAACTGGTGGAGAGGCCCAGTGAGGCTGAGGTGATCCATTTGGATCCATCTCTACTTCCCCTGTGTCTATAAAAAGCCTGGTGTCACATAGTGAGAGCTCCTGTCTCCTCTCCCAGACTCTCTGACGAGGTGTCAACCCTTCTCAGCTCCACCTGACACAGAAGTCACATACCAAACATCGTCTCTCCTGTTTGTGTGTGTCTGTGTGAGCGCATGTGGCCTGTGTTCTCACCTTCCTATTTGCGGTTTCTCTGTTTGTCCATCATGTTAAGACCTGATAGTACAGACACATAAAATCACTGCACACACAGTAGTTCACGCTTTGAGAAACAGAACCAGAGCAAATGGGAAACACTCTGATCGCTCTGGCCTTCCTCGTCATACTGAGAGGCATTTGGTTCAAGCCTATTGCACTGACAATCAAGATGCCTCCTGTAATGCTATCATCACACAGCAGCAGCACCCCCGGCAACTGTATTACACCCATTCAAAGGACACATAACTTTATTAACTCATGCACAGCATGACATGTCTCTAAAAGCAGCAGGCCATGCAGGCTGCCTGCCATCCCGATAACATAACTTTATTAGCCCGTCTATTGACACAGTCGCAGACAGCCGCCTCGCAAGCTCAACAAGTTCATTAAGTCGTTTGTGGCTGGCCTTGAAAACAACACAACTTTATTACTAGCAGCCTTGCCAGACATGAACACAGAAGATGTTACTCTGTCTCAGCTGCCAAAAGAAGCGGTTGAGATTACAATATGGAGGGAAAAGATAAGCAGAGACAGAAAGGTGGATTGGAAAAGAGCTTTCCATGCATGTTCTGTCAAACACAAACACACAACGGCCCAGCATTCCTTGTTGCTCTCTTAATTTAACAACTCATGTACACCTAAAGCTCAATGTTGTTGTTTTTCACAGATTTTCCACAGATTTTCCACAGAAAATACCCAGATTTTTTTTTTAAGGAGCAGGTTCTATTGTCTTTCCTGCTGCAAAAACAAGGTCCTCTTGCAACAAGTACAGCTTAGAAAATCTTCTGGTAAAAGAAATTGAAGAGAAAAAAAGGCAGAGAATACTATGCACTCCCTTGAAATAAATAACAATTATATTACATATATACACTTGTTTTCTAATATTCAAGACACTTTTTATTCTTTAAATATAAAACCTACAAATAATGAGCATTTTTTTATGTAAAAATCACAGGTGCATCCAAACAAATACCACATATGTTTGATGCACATCATTTCTCATTTGTTGTTATTCCAGGAAACAAATGGATGCAATGAGCATCTCTGCACACAAGCAATACACATGCATACACACATGCACACACACACACACACACACACAGTGACAGATACAAACAGAGCGGTCAGTTTATCTGGTATAAACACTCCTTTCTCATCAACCTGGATAGAACTCCTGCAGACTGTGAGTTATGCATCTGTGGTTCACATTATTGTGTTGCTCTTTTTACTGCTTGCTGAGCTATGGGCAATTGCCTGTAGAGCTGACATGAGAGACATGTATTGTATGAGGCAATTTCAATTAGCGGTGAAATGATTAGTCGACTGACATAAAAGTTATCAACAATTCTGAAACTCAGTTAGTCACTGAGGTCATTTATCAAGCACCATAATAATATTCACTGGGTCCAGCTTCTGAAATGTTGGTTTTCAGTTTGGACTATTAGTCAGATAAAAAAAAGACATTTGTTTGCGCTTTTAAAATGAAAAACAAAAAAAACTACATATTAATAAATAAGGAAAATAATCCATAGTTGCAGCAGAATTCAGTCATAATAGAATGTGCAGACATTCAGTTACAGGTTGACTAAACCAATGTAAGCGCACCAATGCCTGATAGAATCAATTTTTAAATCAATATAATGTGTCCTCGTCTATTTGTTCCCAACGACATTCATGTGTCAGAATTGCCATTCAAAGTTGGACTAATCATGTGTAAACACATAATGCACACCACACAAATGTGTGGTCAGGCAGCCCAAATTTGCAGCTTTAATCACCACAAAATAATGTTTATCACTAAAAAAGGAGCTAGAATCTTCTAGGAATAACTAAACATTAAGCACAGCTCTGACCTTCAGCTCTCAGTGCTGCTCATTAGACTAGATCGGTTTGTGTGTGCGAATGCATGTGTGAGTCTTTGTGACCAGGCTCATGATTAAACATACTCCACAATACTTAACATTCTACCCCTGCTGGTAACTGAGACGAGAAAACAAGAGAATGGTGGAAAGTTCCCCTGGTCTTATTATTTTGGTAGCACGAGCATTCTTATTGTGAAAAGGTTGTGGACCTACCGTGGTGTAGTAAATGATGACATCACTGCTGGTCATATTTCCATGGAGAATGTGTTCTTTCAAGTGTTGAATGAGCGTGCCCTACAGACACAGATAGACATAGCAAGAGACAGAGAGATATTGAATTCTGAGGTTTTTGTTAATACATTCATTCATGACACTGACATTTGTTGATTTTTACCTTTAATGCTGTAATTTAAATACTCTACCTTCAAATTGTATTAAAAAAAAAAATCTATAAACTCAATTCTCAGTTGTGAAAAAAAGCCTCTGACACAGACTACTATTCACAGCACTTCTTTTGACAAAAAGGGCAATTTGTGTTAAGTGTGAATTCTCTCACCAACCCATCACAGTTGGATAGGTTATTATCACTGGTGGTGCGGATGAACTGTGTGA